TTACCGCACGAGACTGAGACAGATTTGAAAGTGAAACAAAACATGGCAGGCTGCAAGAATGTTATGGCAAACAATATACAAACAAACCTTAATAATTAAAAGGGGTAGAGAAGCAACAAACCAAAAGAGTGACCTACATAACTTTCCTATATTGGATTTACAAAGAGACTTCAAAAATTCTTCTTTGAAGAATTTTTCTGAGAAGGGGCAAAGAAAAAATGGAAAGAAACCAAGTTCTAGGATTTATTTGAAGGGATTAAAGATCAAAATTCTTAAAAGTAAAAGAAAGGAATAGAAAGTTGGTATATTTATTCAAGGCCAGAGTAGAAGTGTGGTTATATCAGATAACTCTTAATGGACTTTTGCTGATCAAGACTTGCTGACAAGGTTTTAAGGATTTGTTTATAGATAAGAGATGGGACATGGGAAGAAGAAATCACTTGTATTTTAAGTGAAGGTGGCAAAAGTTACTAAAATTGATTATATTTTTGAGGAACGGGAAGTCATTTCTTATATGTTTCTTTTCTTTTTCTTTACTATAATCTTAATTTTTCTCTATTTTCTATCCTGCTTTTTTTTTTTTTACTTTTCTGTGCTTTCTTTTTATTCTTTTATTTTTTGCTTATATTGTTTTTTATCTTTTTAATTCTAATGTTTAATAAAATTAATGTTAAAAAAATAAGAATCAGTTTTGTTTCCAACTGAAAAGAAGAGTTAGGGTGCCACCACTGAGAAGCCATGACCCATGAGATGACATTGTTTAATAGAAGGGATCTGGAGCATCTGGTGGGTGGGCAGAAACAATAGGAGAAAGGTCATCTCACAAGTAGCCTGGCCCTATGACACTGGAGAAGAACCTAATGTTGGGAACGATTGAGGGCAAAAGAAGAAAGGGACGACAGAGAACAAGGTGGCTGGATGGAGTCACTGAAGCAATCGGTGTGAGATTAAATGGACTCCGGGGGATGGTAGAGGACAGGAAGGCCTGGAGAAATGTTGTCCATGGGGTCGCGATGGGTCGGACACGACTTTGCGATTAACAACAACAACAATGATGACATGAAGGACTTTATAGGTAATCATCACTACCTTGGATTGTACCCAAAAGGTTACCAGGATCCCAATCTGAACAGAAGGTGCTATGGGATGAGGCACCGTGATCAAGACCTCCTATTCCTGGCATGGATATAATTGGTACACAAGAGGAACCTGTGCAAAACCCTTTCTGCCCATGTCACCCGTTCAATGAGCAGAAGCTGAAAGTCCAGGAAGACCCCCAGATTGTGCACCAGGTTTTAACCTAAAGGAGAGAAGGTTAAGAGCTGGTATGAAAGCAGCCCTTCAAAATTTGAGGGACTGTTACAGAAAGGAAGATGCAGATTTATTATTCTGAAGACAGGGTAGGACCTGGGTAGGAGGGTAGGAAGGACCATCGGTTAGAAGCTTTGCAGCCTGTCTCCTGGAATCATATTATGCCAGTTTTTCAAACCAAGGTTGTTAAGGCAATTGGACTACAAGATTTCGAAAGCAATTTATTCAGCAATACCATCCATTCTCATTAAATTAATAATAATAGAAAAGTCAAATGGCAGGGAATTTGACAGAGGATAAAAAGCAATGGGCTCCAAATTTTAGACTGTATGAGCATGCTAGAGATTTAATGTAGATTTCACAATGGATTTTCTCTTCTTACAGTTCTGTGCTTTATGTATACATATACATGCAGTGGCACACATAGAAATAAACAACCTCTAAGAGATCATGCAGTTCTCAGTAATCTACTGAATGTTTGGAATAAATACAATAAAATAATAAATCTGTGTTTTCTCTCCTCTTGTTATGCTATTCAATGGTTATTTTTTATAAAGGTGAAAGATCCAAGACATATTAATTTATTCAGATGGCAAGGTATTATTAACAGGACAAAAACAAAATTTATCAAATCTCAATGCTATTCTACACTTGATTAGTTTCAATATCTTCAATAAGCTATTTGGCAGTAATAGAATCGCTGAAATAAGGGGCAATATTGAGATGTTTGACTGAATTTGACAGTCTTAAAGCATGTCCTACTGACAATTTGTTAAGCATAATTTATAAATATTAGTGAACTATGACTAAGAATCCAAACAAAATAGAGACTGTGTAGTTGAATTGGTGCAGAATAGGAGTATAGTTATAGAATTTCAAATTATGGTAATTTTAGTGGAAGAAGAATATTAAATTTACTTTGAACATTATCCTCAGAAAATTGGTATAATATATTTTATCACAGGAATACTACTGCAATATTGATGATGATGATGATGATAAAAACAACAACAACAACAACAACAACAACAACAACAACAACAACACAACATGCCAGATATCATGGTTGTCAAGGGCTGAAGAATACAATTTATTGATATCACTGTACCAGGAGATGCCAGAGTTGAAAAAGCACTGGAAAAAATCACAAAATATCGCGACCTGGCCATCGAAACTGCACAATTATAGATGAAAGATATAACAGTGATACCCATTGTCATCGGGGCACTTGGTACCATGTCCAAGAATTTTATAAAACACAAAAACTGCACTACTCGGAACATTGTACATTTTAAGAAGATACTTGGTTGATACCTAGGATGCTGATAGCAACCCGTATCAACCATTAGCATCAGTCAATGGTATTTGTGATACATTTTTAAAAGTTCAGTTGACTGAGTTTCACGTTCAATGAATAAAAGAGATAATAATAATAACAACTGACAGCAACACTAATAATAATTCTAAAAAATATTTAAAATGCAGTAAATAGATTGAAACTTTCCTTTTCCATATGGTATCAATAGTGTGTAGCCTAACAATATTGGAAAATGATTTGCTATAGAACAGAACAAATTTTGAAAGCTACATATCCTTTGCAACCTAAGCTATTTCATTAAATTTTACCAAACCATGTATCTCTTCAAAATATATTGAATTTGCATTGTATACGTTAGTGGCAGCAAGGAGTTTATAGGCATTCTGGGACTTAGGATCTTTCACTTAACGATAGTTCAGACCAGGGGTGGGTTCTACTTACCTTTGCTATCAGTTCGCAATGGGGCCACGCACGTGCGCTTGCTACGCTTGTGCGCGCGCACTCTTCTGCACAAGTGCAGAAGCATTTTCATGATGTCAGGCTCAGTAGGCGGGGCCTCCCGCTGGTTTTACTACCGGTTCTATAGAACTGGTGAGAACCAGGGGCAAACCACCAACAACTGTCTCCAAAAAAAGCCAGTTATGATCTAAATTCAAGCTTATGACCATTGCCCACCTCCATGCTAATATGATTGCAGTTTGGACACTTGGCAACCAGCTCACATTTACATCTGATTGCAGCATCTTGCAGTCACATGATTGGAATTCACAACTGGAAAAACTGCCATTTGTTAATTTGGATTCACACAACTGTGTGACTCAATTTATGACTGTGGTGCTTCAACTTATGACCACAGTAAAAATGGTTGTAAAATCAGGTCCAATCACATGATGACTCAACTTATGACCACAATGATTTACACCAGAAATTCTGATCCTAGTTGTGATTGTAAATCAAGGACTACCTGTATATGCCTTATATGGGAAAAGACCTTTAATTCCTGCTTTGTAAAAATAACTAAATGAATTGTGAGAGTATGTCATGCCATCTAAAATAAGTTCTAAATAAAAATTGAATATCGATTTCAGTTCAATTCAATTTAATTCAATAAAAATTGAATTAAATCTGAATTTAATTCAAAATTGAAATCATTTTTGGATTGCAATCTCATACATGGAATTGTGCCACACTCAACATTTCATTTTTAGAGCTTATATTTTCACTCATGGTATAATTTGTACTGTTAGTAGAATGCATTATTTATGACTGTAGTTAGATAATGCCTTATGTTTCTGAATGGTTTAGATTTAATGATAAATTAAGGACTCAATTAATCCTGTGTTGATATAGACTTTATATCAGGGGTGAAATCCAGTAGGTTCTGACAGATTCTGGAAAACTGGTAGTGGAAATTTTGAGCAGTTTGGAGAACGGGTAGCAGAAATTTTGAGTAGTTTGGGGAACTGGCAAATACCACCTCAGGCTGGCCCCAGAGTGGGGTGGGAATGAAGATTTTGTAATATCCTTCCCCCAGGAATGGGGAGGGAATGGGGGTTTTGCAGTATCCTTCCCCTGAAGTGGGGTGGGAATGGAGATTTTGCAGTATCCTTCCCCTGCCACGCCCCCCAAACCAGGTCCACCAAGCCACACCACGCCCACCAAGCCACGCCCACAGAACCGGTAGTAAAAAAAATTGGAGTTCATCACTGCTTTATATGGATCCTGCGTTGACATAAATACATATTATATGGATTTATTTTTTATTTAGGTCTTTTTCTTTTTTAAAAATTCATCAACAATGTGCATTATTTTCTTACTACATAACCAATAAAGTATTTTTTCCAGTTGGTTTTGTAAGCTGTCTGTATTCCACCATTAGAAATAATTTCAAAGATTAAATACCAACAAAACAGCAGCCCTTAAAAGTCAAGTTCATTTAAAAAAAAAAAAAGGTAAGGGACAAGTGTGAGTCTCATTCTGGAACTTGTGTTATTATTTAAATACTTAGAGGAAGGAACATAAATTTAGCTGTTGTATCAAGAATATAGCATCTACCCAACCATACTTCAGTTGGGAGAAATAAATTATGTTGAATGCTGACAACTTAAAAAAAGATTAAAGACTGGCCTGAGAGCACTCTGAATTGCATTTAAAATAGAAGATTGTTGTTTCAATACAATTTGCATAAAGGTCTCCTCCCTTTTAAACAATGTACAATTTCCTGATACTAGCAGCAGATTACTGAGTGCATTGTAAGAGTTTGCACACCAGCTTTTTAAAAAAGGTAAAATCTCATTTGAATTGAGCTCAACATCTAGTCGTTTTAGGAGCCTCCTGCCATTGCCTTCTTCTGCCTTCCTGGTTTTAACTAATGAAAAAAGGAGTATCTTGACTAGATGGTAAGTTTATTGAAAATGTGAGCACATCATTGCTATTTTTGCACAATTCCTGGAATGTTTTGTAACTGCATTTGAATTTGTACTTTTGAAACTTACATGCTCAAAAAGTCTTTTTAACATGTGTGTCCAGGACTAAAAACATATTATTTAGGATTTAACAAACTCTTTTCTTTATGTTTCTGTCTGTAGATTTGAGAAAATGAACTGGAAAGTGATTTCTTCTATCATAGCAATATGCATCACCATCATTGTCATCTTAGTTTTGGCTTTCCGAAATAGAGGAGAAAAATATATGGGTTGTCAGAGTTCTTCCCAAGGGCAAGGGGAAGGAGGTCAGGATGCTGCCAGCCAGGTATTTCGAGATTTAACTCCAGAAGAGATGATGCAAGTAAAAAAGTATTTACAATCCAACCTGGGAGTGCGAATGGTAGGTGCGTCAAAAGCCAAGCCATCAGACAACTGTATCTATTCCATCACTTTGCAGCTCCCTCCCAAAGCAGCGGTGCTACAATTCCTAGATTATCAAGGGGTCAAGCCTGCACGGGAAGCTCTGGTTGTGGTTCATTTTGGAAATCAGCCAGTTCCAAATGTCACTGAATTTGTAGTAGGTCCTCTTCCAAAGCCAACGTATCATCAAGATGTTACATTGCAGAAGTATGGAAAGATGTTGCCTTATTACCAAAGGTTTCCTTTGTTGAGGGATGTGATTGAACTATATAAAACGTTGCTGCTGAAGGAATATCTAAAGGCTCCAAATTTCATGAGAAAAGTCCTTAATTATCCAGCAAAACTTTTCATGTACACTTTTGCATTTCCAACAGGCCTAAAATCAGGAGATCGTAAAATCTGGCTAAATCACTTACAGCTTGTTCCTGGCAGCTATTTACATCCAGTTGGATTTGAGGTCCAAGTGAATTTTAGCAGCCTGGATTATTCTCAGTGGAATGTGATAAAAGCATTTTATAATGGACAATATTTTGAGGGCATGAAAGATCTCGAAAAGCAATTCAATATGGGAAAGGTTAAAGTAAACAAAGTTAAACCAGCTGCTCGTGATGGGGGATATTCATCACTGAAGCAGAGGGTGCCACCACAAGGACCGAGCCCTTTGCATTATGAACCTCATGGACCACGCTATAGAATTCAGGATAACCATGTTACTTTCATGTCTTGGAGTTTGGCTTTTGGAATTGATAACAACAGAGGACCACGTATCTTTGACGTCAGATTTAGAGGAGAGAGAATAGTCTATGAGTTAAGTTTACAAGATGCAAGTATTATCTATGGCTCCAATAGTCCTACAATGATGTCAGTCAGATCCATGGACATGGTCTTTGGATTTGGATCTAGAATGTTCACACTCACACAGGGGGTGGATTGCCCCTACCTAGCTACTTACCTGGATGTGCACACTTTTCATGCTAGTTCATTCCATCAGACCCATAAAAAGGCCATGTGCATCTTTGAACAGAATTCTGAGTTGCCTCTGAGACGTCATTTTGAAAGCATCCAGTCTCCATTTTATGGAGGGTTGTCTGACTCATGTCTGGTTATCAGATTCATATCTGCACTCGGTAACTATAACTATATCTGGGACTTTGCTTTTCATCAAAATGGAGCTGTTGGTGTCCATGTTCTTGCCACCGGATACATTCAAACTGCTTTTTTCTTTGAGGATGCCACAGACTTTGGCAACAGAGTTGAAGAATGGGTATCGGGATCAATTCACACCCACAATATCAATTTCAAAGTGGATATGGACATTGGTGGTGAGTGGCAGCTTCATTTGTGATATTTTAAAAATGCCAGTGATTTCTAAGCCTGACATAACTTATTGTACAGTGTTTTTTTGGAAATGTTTGCATCCCTTTTTTGAGGTGGATGCAGTTTTGATTACGTGACAAAAGTCTCATGCTTCAGTTTGAATTGCTAACATTTTCTGTATCTAACCAAAACTTTTTAAGATTTTTTTTTATTATTTATTTTTTTTATAAATTTGATTTATATGCCGCCCTTCTCCGGAGACTCAGGGTGGCTTACAGTGCGTTAAGCAATAGCCTTCATACTTTTGTATATTTATACAAAGTCAGCTTATTGCCCCCACAAACTGGGTCCTCATTTAACCTACCTTAGAAAGGATGGAAGGCTGAGTCAACCTTGAGCCTGGTAAGATTCGAACCTGCAGTAATTGCAGGCAGCTGTGTTAATAACAGGGTGCTTTAAACCACTGTACTACCAAGGCTCCAAGGATTTGAAGAGTTAGTGAGACAGACTGTTCCACATGTTTTTCTACCTCTCTAGGGATTAAGTTTTAATTTCTTAACTTTATTTGCTTGAATAAAAAGTATCTGCCTGGATGGCAATTTAAGTATTAAACATTGTGTGGAATCCAGAGCAGTTGCTTCTACTGTCCATAAGTGATGAAAGAAGAATGTATGTTCTGACTGACATTTATTAAAAACCGAGCCCGTTTTAGGTCCTTACTCCAAAGAGATATTATCCTCTCACTTCTTGGATGGTTTACTTGAAGAACTACCTGGAAGTGGGAACAACATTTATATTTCTTTTCATATGCATCTGTGCCACAGAAATCTGCTTCTTTATTGTGGAGCTGCAAGAAACAGCCAGTTTTTCCTCTGTAAACATTCTGCATTTATCTTTCCAGAAAACTAATAAATGTTTTCTTTTAATAGACAGGAATTTTTTTCTGATGTTAGCCCAAACTTCCTTCCTTGTAATGTTAACCCACTCATTCTGATTCTAAACTCTGGGGCAATAGATATGAGGTCTGTTGCCTCTTTCGTGTGACTACTTTTTAAGTATTTAGATACATATCTTCCATTAGTTGTCTTTTCTGTAGACTAAATAAACCCAGATATTTTAATAATTCCTCATAAGGTTTAGTTTCCAGATCTTTTAGTACCTTAGTAACCACCCTCTGATATAGATACCAGATTATTATTCTCTCTTTTTTTTTGTACTATTGGGCCCCAAACTGGTGGTGTCTGACCAGGATAAAATAGGTAAACAATTATTTCTTATGTTAATGGAGCCTATGCTCCTGTTAATACATCCCAAGATAGCAGTTGGATTTTTAATATCCGCATCATAATGTTGGCTCAGGGCTAACTTGTTGTCAAAGATACCCAGATCTCTTTGGCATGTACTAGTGCCAAGTCCATTCCTCTCTGTTCTACCCATGTACCATACAATTGTCCTACCTAGCAGAACTTTACATTTCTTTCAATTTCATCCTATTCCCTTCTCCCTACTGCTTGAAACATTCTAGAGATCTTTGAATTTTATTTCATCTAACATGTTAGCAGTTACATCTGTGGGGTAATAAAAACAGGACTAGTAGTATTTCTTGAAGAAAAAGTGAAGTGAAAATGCATTATTGGCTTCTGAATTATCTTCAGTTCTTTAATTTGGATTCTCCTCTAGAACCCCCTACACTTTGAGACCAAAGTAACTCTACTCAGTCAATTACCTCTTTTATTAGTTCATTCATTTTCATCTTGAGGAATAATATTTTAAAGAAACTCAGCAAAAACCATCTCCCAAAAATATCTTATTTTTGTTTCCAAAGTAACTTGTTCATTGAAAATGCCAGATTGTGAAAGAAAAGTGGGGTAGTATGTAAAATAGTTTAGAATGAATGAGGGTGGATAAGGGATGCTAATCCCATTGTGCTATTGTACATGTTCAATATTTTCCCCCTGTAATACTGTCAAAACTGGAGAAGATTAACCATAGATGAACATGGCTCTCCTTCCTACGATGTCTGAAATACAATGGTAATTAAATAATACCAAACCATTATCTTCAACATTATTAAACGTTTGTCTTTATGTTATTTTGAAAACTTGCTATTTAATGTCTATTCTGCTTTTAATTAGCATCTACTATCCTAAAAATACAAGTTCCAGATGTAGCTATAAAAGAAGAAACAGACATTGCGATCTCCGGAACTTAAAATATATTATCCACTTAGCTTTTGTTAGTCTCTGCTAACATTGCCAGAGTGTAAAAAACTACCATTGAAGAGATATTCGGCTTTATGCATCATTGATCAATTTGGCCATTGTGCACGTGATAGGCCCATCCCATCCAAATGATCAATGATGCATAAAGCCGAATATCTCTTCAATGGTAGTTTTTACACTCTGACGATGTTAGCAGAGGCTAACGAAAGCTAAGTGGATAATATATTTTAAGTTCTGGAGATCGCAATGTCTGTTTCTTCTTTTATAGCTATACCTGGAACTCGTATTTTTAGGATAGTTCGATACACACACCACACATATAATAGCTCCATTTCTGTGTCACTCTGCAGACAAATGCAGCAAGAGAAATCTGATCTATACTGCTAACCAAAAACTAATGAATGTATTTGTTTTTCTTCTAAGGTGTGGGCAATATGCTCGTTGGCAATGACATGGCTTTTGAGACACTGCAGGCCCCTTGGAGCCCAGAACATAAGATCTATCGAATGAAGAAGGTGAGGAAAGTTTTCAATACTGAGAACCAAGCCGCATTCCGCCTCCATGATGCCATGCCCAACTACATTTATTTTGCTGCCAATAACAGCAACAATAAGTGGGGCCATGAAAAAGGCTACCGAATTCAGATAGTCAGCTTTTCTGGAGACCATCTATCAGAATCTGATCCATTGGAGCCAGGCTTCAGTTGGGGCAGGTATGTCGTCAATTTCTACCAGTCAAAATTTCTCAGGCTGATGACTATTCACTTGTAGTAGTATAAAGTGCCTTCTGGATTCTTCTGGGTTCTACTGAAACTCTTGGTAGTGCTAAGAATGTCTGGGTAATGACTTATTCTTCTCCAAGAAATGTAGCTCTGGAACATGTAAAGAAATACAGGTTGACCTCAGTTAACAATGGTGATCAGTTAACAACGCTAAACGATGAGATTGTAAAGTGTGATATCATGTTATCACATTGTTTAGCAATGGCAATCCTAGCAGTCTCTCTTGCCACTGTCTAGCAAGGAGCAGGCTATTAAGCAAGGACCTCCTGGCAATTTCCTGCTGTCTGCCAGCAACCAAAGAAAGTGGGGAAGCCAGCAGAAAGTCTTGAGTCCCCGATGGTCAGTAAGAAGTTGCAAGTTTCATGTGACTCACAAACTGGCTGGTAGGTAGGTAAGTGGCTGCTTCCAGGGATAGAAAGGTGCACAAATGTGTGCAGGTGACTGAAGCTATGTGAGTGTAATGGGATTGGGAAGGCTGCTGTCTGGTGGGGGAGACTTACCTCAGTGACTCATGATCTTCCCTATCAGCTTCTCAATTGACTCTGCTTGGAGGAAGCCAGCAAGGTAGGTTGCAAATGGTGATCATTTGACTGCAGGATGCCGCAACTGTTGTAAATGTGAGCTGGTAACTAAGAGTCCAGATTGCAATCAGATGACTGTGAGGGTCCAGAAATTCACGGACCAGTAGTTAAGTACTATAGGTACTAATGACCACAACTGAGTCCAAAATTTCTGTTGCTAAGTGAGTTATTCAGTTCAGTTATGAAATCCAATTTTTTTTTATTACTTGTTCTGTGGGTATGGCTTGGTGGGCATGGCATGGTGTGGCTTGGGCATGGCTTGGTGGGTGTCGCAGGGGAGGGATACTGCAAAATCTCCATTCCCACCCCACTCTGTGGCCAGCCAGAGGCGGTATTTGCTGGTTCTCTGGACTACTTAAAATTTCTGCTATCAGTTCTCCAGAACCTGTCAGAACCTGCTGGATTTCACCCCGATTCAGTTGCTAGGCAAGACAGTTGTTAAATGAGTTTTGCCCCGTATGACCTTTCTTGCCAGACAGTTGTTAAGTAAATCGTTTGCTCATTCAGCAAATTTAGCTTCCCCCATTGACTTTGCTTGTCAGAAGCTAGCTGGGAAGGTTACAAATTGTGATCACATGACTCTGAGACACTGCAACTGTCATAAATATATGCCAGTTGTCAAGCGTTTGAATTTTGATCACAGTGGATGCTACAATAGTTGTTAAGTATGAAAACCAGTCATGGCTCACTTTTTTCCCCAGTGGTGGTATAACTACAAAAAGTCACTGAACAAATGGTTGTAAGTCAAGGCTTATCTGTACTGTATTCCTTCAGTTAGAGGCTTCAACTTTCTCTTACAAGAATTTTATCCTTTCTTTCCATACTGCTTTCCATGGTCACATATGAAAGAGTAACTCATGTACTTTTAAAAGAAAATAAACGATAAGTCCAATTTACCACAATGTCACTGTTGCTTTGCTTTTCAGGTACAAGTTAGCTGTTACAAAGCGGAAGGAGAAGGAGCCAACCAGTAACAGTGTCTACAGCCAACTGGATCCGTGGGATCCTCCTGTTGCCTTTTCTGACTTCATAAACAATGAGACCATTGTTAATGAGGTGAGTCATGAAGATCTAACATAGCGAGGAAAACTGTGTTTTCCCACTCTTCAGTTTTATTGGTTTTTCACTGTCACAGGGCAGAGCAATTAAAAATGGAACCCCAATATATCCAGATGAGCAGAAGTCAGGCTGGAAAAAGAACCAAAAATCACTCAGGATGTGGGCAAATGCTATCAATGGTTGTAATGCTTTGTGGGAAAGACCTTGCTAAGCAGCAAAGAGATGTTGCTTAGGGAATAAAAGTGTCCCTTGTGGCCAGCTTACAACTAGATTTTGCAACTGAAATCTCACTATTTCCCTACCCTAACAGCATCGCTTATAAGCAGAGGAAGCTTACCCACCTACTTTCTCCAATGCCAAACAAGAGAAGGTCCATCCTGAGCTTCTTGCCCTGCCCTGTGATGACCAGGGGCATGGCACAGAGGCAACACAGTCAGCTGATAGTTCAAAGCCCTCCTTTATTGCTCCAACTTTCCCCCAAATGCCCTCACGTTTCTGGCAAGTCCCAGAGCAAAGTGATCAACACAAACACCTCCAGCAGCCTCTGGCTGCAAGTAGTCCAGCACAATGCTATGAGCACAATGGCTGCAAAGCAAGAAATCCATCAGGGCAAGTTGAGGAGTCTAGGAAGCAAAGGAGCAAGGCAATTAATCCAGAAAGCAAGCAAGAAAGGAAGAACTCCAGGAAACTTCAAACATCAGCAATGGCACACAACACACCATGAATTCAGTATTTGACAAATGCCCCTCCCCACAGTGTCTCCTTAAGTCTCAGTCACCACATGTGCCTTGTGAAGAAGGGCGGGGCACCCTCCTCCCAAGTTGTCAGGTCAGCCTGTGCTGTTCCCACCTTCTTTTCACTCTCCGTGCTCAAGAATCAGGAGGGGGTGGTCCTTGCTCATTGCCTGAGCTCTGTCTCTCATGTTCACTTTTTAGCCTCTCTTGGTCATCCTGCCCCTGTTCTTCCCTGCCTACAAGCCGTCCCAATCCTGAAAGGCCCTGGCCTGACTTGGCCTGCTTCTCCTCACATTCCTCCGAAGCCAACGAAACCACCCCTTTGATCTCCGTTGGCTCCAGCTCATCTTCTTCCACAGATTCAGGCTCCGACGGGGGCATGACATGCCCACTATCCATCTGCAGACTGTGCTGTCTCTTATTTGACCATTCCCTAGGCAGCATCTCTTTGATTTATCTTCCAAGGCCTTCCCACATATCATTACAATGGGTCTTTTTATTTAATGAAGCATTTGTATGAGCTATTGTAAGACGTGATGACTCAGCAAATAAAGATGCTGAGCTTGTCAGCTGGAAAGCTGACAGTCCAAGTTTGAGACCAAAGTGGTGCAATGGAGTGAGCTTGCCCCAGCTCCTGCTCACCTAGCAGTGTGAAAGCATGCAAATGCGAGTAGATTAATAGGTACCACTTCAGTGGGAAAGTGCCAGCATTCCATGCGCCTGTGGCATATAACCATGCTGGTCACATGACCATGAAAAATATCTTCAGACAATGCTGGCTCCCTCAGCCAAGAAACAGACATGAGCACATTGTGCCCTAGAGTTGGACATGACTGGAAAAGGAAAACTTTACCTTTTACCATTTTGTGAGCTACCCCTCAAACTTTTTCAAAGCTGTTTACAATAAAATGCAAACAAATAAAACAATGAGTTTAGAAAAAATGCCATTAGCACACTGCCATTTGAAGAGATCATATATAAGCCATAAGCACTGAAAAAATAATTTAGTCTCTATCAGAAATAAACAAGACATTTAAAAAAAAATAGTTTTCATTTTTTTTCCTAAAAAAATATATATAATACAATGGTTTAGTTTAGAAAAAGAGGTGGCTCACAAGTTTTAAAAATTGCCTTCTTTTAAGTTATGTAGTTATATTTACTCCTTGCTTATAAAGACACCCTGTAATTAATTCTTTTTATGCTGGAGAATAATTATGCTGGATAATAATAATATGCCTCCTATTCCCCCAACAGAGTATAGTCATTATAAGTGAGATGGGAAGGCATACATGACAAACAAACAGAGCCCAGATGAATTTTTGAACTTTAATTTGAAAAAAAAATGTTTTGCTGCTGTTTTAAAAGGCAATTAATTAGAAATGTTAGGTTATCTCTGATGAGAGATTGGGCAAAGAAATGCATTATGAGAGAACATTTTAAAACAGTTTCTTGATATTCTAAACACAAATGCAAAGAGGGCATTTTCAGTGAAAAATCAGTGGCAAATGGTACTGAAAATGTTTCTCACTACCAATTTGTAAAAATAATCTATTTTTTCTTTGTCCCACTCCATTCTGAGAAATAATCCTGACAGGAAGAGAGTAATGATCTTTGGGAAATTTGCTCAGAGAAAAATTGACTGCTTCTGATTTTCCAGCATAGCCTTCCTGTCTGTATGCACTTGAAACCATACTAAAATTATTATTATTTTATTTATTATTTATTTTAAAGTTATCATGAGCTGGATTCATATTTGTCATTAAACAAAATTGCTTTTTAGTATCATTCCTTTCATGGATGAAAAAAGGAATAGTCTCCTCAGATTTGCAATGATCACAACATCCTACCTCTGAGAAGAAAATTGTGTATTTATTTATTATTTATTTATTTAGTTTGTCAAACATGTATGAGAATACAAGTATGAGTATAAACATAACATATAAACATATAAGTATAAACAGATATAAGTATATACATAATAAATAAGTACAAATAAATGGGAACAGTAGGACAGGGATGGTAGGCGCGCTGGTGCACTTATGCATGCCCCATGAGTGGGTTCTACTTACCTTTACTACCGGTTCGCATCATGCCCGCGCGTGCTCGCTCGCTACGCTTGTGCACGTGCTCTTCTGCGCATGCGCAGATCACCTATGATTATGTCTGGGTCGGTGGACAGAGCCTCCCACCGGTTTTACTACTGGTTCTTGCGAACCGGTCCGAACGCGAGAGCAACCCACCACTGGCATGCCCCCTCTTAGGAATGGGGTGTGCTCCATGGTAGACAGTTTAAGGTTAAAGTTTTGGGGGTTTGAGGATATAACAACAGAGTCAGGTAGTGAGTTCCAGGCATTGACCACTCTGTTGCTGAAATTGTATTTTCTACAATCGAGTTTGGAGCGGTTTACTTTGAGTTTGTATCTATTGTTTGCTCGTGTATTATTGCGGTTGAAGCTGAAGTAATCATTGACATGTAGTACGTTGTAGCAGACAATTTTGTGTACTAAACTTAGGTCAGACCGTAGGCGGCATAATTCTAGGTTGTCCAGGTCCAAAATTTCAAGCCTGGTGGCATAATGTATTCTTTTGCAAGCAGAGGAATGGAGTACTCTTCTCATGAAATACCTCTGGACTCGCTCAATTGTATTATACAGTAATGTAATGTCCATTATACAGTGTGAATTCCAGGCAGATGAGCTGTATTCGAGAATTGGTCTGGCAAAGGTTTTGTATGCCCTTTGTATGCAGAACAATGTTACCAGAGAAGAAGCTTCACAAACTTAGGTTAACAACTCTTAATGCCTTTTTGGCAATGCTGTTACAGTGAGCTCTGGGACTTAGATCTTTTGAAATGAGTACTCCTAGATCCTTGACAGAGTGAGGGTTGTCTACAAGGTCGTATCCACCCAGTTTGTATTTGGTGTTCTGATTTTTGTTGCCAATGTGTAAGACATTGTGCTATCACATTGTTCCATTTGATCAGATCATACTGATTCATCTTTCAGCAAACACTGAGTCTTATTGAGTCAGTTCTTCCTTCCTCTGTTAGCTCAGCATTTAATAGGACTTTTTTAAAAAAATATTTTTCTTTCACAGGATCTGGTTGCCTGGATCAATGCTGGCTTTCTACATATTCCACATTCTGAGGATGTGCCCAATACTGCAACTGTTGGGAATGTGATTGGTTTCTTCTTGAAACCATACAATTATTTTGATGATGACCCTTCCATGTATTCTCCAGACAGTGTTTACTTCAACAACCTGCAGGATCCCACTTCCTGCGAGACCAACCAACTTGCATGTCTGTCAAAAACCGCTTCATGTGTGCCCATTTTCCCCTCTTTCACTTATGAGGGCTTTGAAAACCTAACAACTCTCTAATATCTTTTAGTTTTTGACAGATGGATTGGATGCAGGAAACGTGGATTGGAAACCACTGTGACATATATAAGACAAGCAGCTTCTAATCCTGCAGGGTATCTTATAGTATCTTGGAAACTTGAATCTCATATTGTACTTGTGTCTGTTTGAATTTTTCTGAATACAATTCTATAAAAATATATTTATGAATATATAACAATATGTTGACTCTGTAAACCACTTAGAGAGAGCTGTAAAGCTCTGTGAAGCAGTATATAAGTCTAAGTGCTATTGCTAAGTACTATTACTTTCCAAAGTGTTGAGAACTAGAACACTGGTATGTTTCAAAATTTTTTACTACCAGTTCAGTAGTAAGACTTGGTGGGCATGGCAGGGGAAGGTTGACTCAGCCTTCCATCCTTTCTAAGGTAGGTGAAATGAGGACCCAGTTTGTGGGGGCAATAAGCTGACTTTGTATAAATATACAAAAGTATGAAGGCTATTGCTTAATGCATTGTAAGCTGCCCTGAGTCTCTGGAGAAGGGCGGCATATAAATCAAAAAAAAAAAAAAGGATACTGTAAAATCTCCATTCCCACAGCACTCCAGGAGAAGGATACTGTAACATCTCCATTCCCTCCCCACTCCAGGGGAAGGTTACTGCAAAATCACCATTTCCTCCCGATCAGCTGGGACTCGGGAGGCAGAGAATAGATGGGGCGGGGCCAGTCAGAGGTGGTATTTACTGGTTCTCTGAACTACTCAAAATTTATGCTATCAGTTCTCCAGAACTGGTCAGAACTGCTGAAACCCACCTCTGAACTAGAACTGTCAGAAAAAAGAAAAATATATATTTAAGTCAAATCAGACTTCTGGCAACTGGATCCCTGCAATTTTCTTAACATGTGCAATGAAAGAGATTTCCCATTGCCACTTGGAATGTCCTTTTCTTCTTTATAACTTCCTAGTCTAGTCTACCATCCAGGAATCCCTAATCTGTTTCCTCTTATTGTATTAATCAAGGCCAATCTTGTTTAGCTTCAGAGATCAATCAGGTGCTGATTTTGTCATAATTAATATAATATCAAGACTACTTTATAACTCAAATATAAACTTGCCATATGCAGATGCTCGGTTGTTCTCTTGAGATTATCTGGGACTGCCCATGATGCAAAAGCTGAAGTCCAACATTGAAAGAGAAGAGTTACAGCATTTTTTTCACCACAGCATAAACCTGGTTCCTTCTTTGCTTTACCTTTTCTATGAGTGATGTTCCTTCTAAGCTGAATTTTGGATCACATTGTAGGCATGTCCGTCCACACAGATGTGCAAACTCTTCTCATGATACATCTGCATAAAGTTCATTTTATAGACAGTTTATTATTTTTCCTTGCTACATTGTGAACTTCTCCCTATGCAGAGACATATGCATCATATGCACCAAAGACAAATTCCTTGTGTGTCCAATCGCACTTGGTCAATAAAGAATTCTATTTGTTTCTATCAATGTGACTTTTTACCTAAAAGACAATTATGAGAAAACATTAGAAATGTTTTGAATGTTTTGAATATTTGGAAGTATTTGGAACAATTTTGTAGTGGAAAACACAGGCAGAGTCTGGGGATGGAGACAAGAGAATAATTAGCCTGGAGATGCTAACGTTCCCACAAGTGGTCTAAACCCAAACCCTCTTGAATTCTATTAACTGTTTTTTAGTGCGAAAGTAGTGTTGACAGTTAGTTGACTAGATTCTTGTCTTGATATTATAACAAGCAGCCTTGATATTCTTAAATGCCGAGAAGACCTTTGACTTGAATTGGATTTTATTATTTTGAGTTCTGGAACATATGAATCTTGGAGCCCATTTTATTAAATGGATAATATCAATTTATACTTCACAGAAAAAACAAAAAATTGTTAAGGGAGAACCAATAAAAGTTTGTGAAATTCAAAAAGGGACAAGGATGCCTTCTGTCTCCACTCTTATTCAACTGAGTCCTTGAAGTGCTGGAAAAAAAATATAAGACGAGATGAGAAAGTCAAGGCAATTAAGATTTTTAAAAAAGGAAAATTATAAATTAAGGGCATTTGCAGATTACCTGGTGTCAGTTTTGGAAGATCTGCTAATGAAACTAGAAACATTAATGGCAAAAGACAGAATTTAAAATATAATTGTGGACTTAGTGATGAACATGTAATTGCCAAAATGTATAAACTGTTGTTGAAATTTGAAACAGAGGAAGAAGAAGTTGAAGGATATATGATTAAAGTGGCTAAGCATGTTGGTTATAATATACCAGATAGATCAATGGAAAAATATGTGGCTAAAAGGATTGAAATTTACATTATGTTATGATTTTAAAGACAATTTGTATAAAATGATATATTGTTGGTATATTACACCAGATTCTACTAAATGTACAAAGTCAGATGTTTCTTGAAAATGTGAATAACATGAAGGAACAACTTGGTGAACATGTAAAAAAGCTAAAAAAAAGAAAAAGAAAAAGAAAAAGAAAGAAAGAGATTCTTGTCCAGTTGAGGGGATCTTACACAGAGCAAATGTGCAAGTGTGTTCTCTCTCTCTCTCTCCCTCCCTCCCTCCCTCCCTCCCCCCCCTCTCTCATTTATTGCCACACATTGCACACCACTTGGCTCTTCTGCTCCTTTACATCTAAAAGAGGCATAATCCAAAATGACTGACTGACAATTTCAGCAACAAATAGTCACATTCTCTTCCTTGGCCATTATCCAACCTCATCCATTGCAATTATGAATCATTTTTGTTCCTAAGAAAAATAAACAGTTTGCTTTTGGCTCTATTACATTATATCCCTGCCTTTAATCTTTACAGTTGAATATGAAGCATTACTTTTAAGTGATAAATAAGTTTATTTACATTTCTGTATCACGTAAGGTCATAAATAAAATACGTTTGCTTTTAACACTGTTAGCATGCATAACTTGACCAACCTAGAACTGGACTAATTTCCATAATTCTTATTAAGTTAAGCTATTGGAGTTCAAACCATCTGAAATTCCAGCATACAAAAGATTGATAAATGGTGAACTCATTATAAAGTTATCTTGATAGAGCCACAGTACTTTAAATTCATATCTTCACAATCAAATTCGTATCTTCAAGAACAGGCTTTCAAAAGAATTTCTATTAACACCATTGCTGGTAGGCCTCCTCATTTGCTGGTTATCATCATAACACTTCTCCTAGAAATTAAGCCCTATAATTTCCAGCCTTAATTTCCAGCCATATCCTGAACCTATGTTAGGTATAACTAAGCTACTGAAATATATTGCCCCCAAAGTAAGCAATTTACAGTGACATTTAATTTCTAATGAGCTGAGCTTATTAGCTGAAATGATGTGATTCTTTATAGATTGCCTGGCAGGACTATGAGCTAATCCTTCTGCCACTCCAAATACAGATTCATTGAACAAAACCTCAGCAGTTTGGGGAAATAAAGCGAAAGACAGGTATCTTACTGGAGGAAGAGGCACAGCAGCAGCTGGCTTATATGTAAATTTGTAATTTGCTATTTCTCCAAGCAGCAGTAGTCATTATTGTTTTAATGGATACATGTCAGTTCGGCAGATATTTTTGTTACTGTTTTACTGAAAACCAAATTGTCATTTTAGAAAAAAAAAGTCAGATAAGATTGAAATACATTTTATAATGTATTATTTCACGAGTGTCAAGATAAATCAATCATCAGACTTCATATCAGGTCCCACAGGTAATCCTAGTTGATTTTTAAAAACAAACATTTTGGTATCTTTATAATTCTCAGGCTGTCACACTATGAAATTCTGCTCAAGCCTAATTAAGAATCTTGTATTTACGGTATAAACATGTCCATATCTTTTGCACATTCTAAATGGGCAGAAATTAGTAAATCTGCATAAATCTATATTACAATTAAATCAGAATGAAACCTTATTATGCAAATTTCGAGGAAAATAGCAAAATAACAAAGATTAAAAAAAGTTCTGATTAATTTAGTGAGTGAGGAATTAATACTGTTTTCAAAGAGCAGAAGGTTGGGTTTAGCTGGCTAGCATTGCTTACTGAGGTCTTGTTAAAATGAAGGGAAATAACATATAATAATGTGCATGTGTTGTGTATGATTATTTAAATTTTGGAATTTGAAAAAAAGGATGACAGAGATAGTGGTTTTGTACTTGGCTTGGTCTAGCAGGTGTGTCAAACTGGCAGCCCGCGGGCTGGATATGTCATGTGCAGGTCACACCCACCCCAGCTCCGCCAAGACAAAAAACGCTGTGATACGTCACGATCTGGCCTGTGACACGATCGACTTTGACACCCATAGTCTAGGGTAATTAGTTTCCCAAATGAAATTATTGTTGAGTATCGTCTGCATACTGATGACATTTCATCCTGTGCTGATAAACATTTTCACTCAGCAGTTTCCTGCAAATATTAAAGAAGAGTGGGGGAGAGTGCTGAGCCTTGAGGCATTCATATAAAATGATGCTAACCAAACCAGTTAAAATCAGCCCTGCAGAAAGAAGGGGAACCACTGAAAAACAGTGCCCTCTGCTCTTGCCCCACTAAGCTGATCCAGAAGGACATCAGGGTTGATGGTGCATAATCAACATATAAAGCTCTAACTCTCTCTTGCTCTCTGTATATGTGCCATTTTTTAAAAAAAATATTCTAATTTTCTTTCCAAGGACTTCAGCTTTCCAATTTAACATGTTGACTAAAAAACATTTAAAATAATAAAAGCACACATATATTTTACTAATATGATCAGGTCTTTTACTGTCCTCTGCTGGTAGCAATTTAATATATTTAGCAAATTGCCCTTCAGTCTGATAACAGAGCTGTATTCTTGCACTACCACATTTCTGGAATGCATTCTTTCCCCTCCCAGTAAATTACATATACTGAATCACATTAATCATCATCATGAATTTTAATTAAATGGGCTCTAATTTGGAGTGATAAATAAGGAAGTTTATTTCTTATGATTTTTTAAAAAATGAAACAACTCCAGGATTACAGATTTGGGGCAGGTGATGTTTCATTTACATATATAATTGACAAGTCACAGATGGTATTATGAAGAGATAAAGATGAGCATCTTAACTCAAATGTTAATTTCATACATTATCTGTATGACCCCACTATGCCCTTCCTGGTTTTTCAAAAAGAACAAGACTAGAAGGTCTTAACCAGGGGTGGGCTGCTGGGGGTTCGCAGGAATTTGGGAGAACCTCTAGCTAAGATTCTGTGCAGTTCAGAGAACCCCCAAATCCCACTCCTGACTGGCCCCATTCCTCCCCTCCCCATGTGGCCCATTTTGGATGCAGGTAAGTGCAGGGCGTGCACGGAGGCTTGGGGAGGGCAAAATATGGGCCTACTGGAAATTCAGGAAGACCAGCCTCCAGAAGGCCTCCAGAGCCTGGGGAGGCTGTTTTCGTCCTCCTGGAGGCTCGAGGAAAGACTCTGGAGACCGGGGAGGGAAAACCCTCCCCATGGTGCAGGAGGCCAACTAGGCCATGCCCACCATGGACATGCCCACCCAGCAACCAGGCTGAGAACCCCTTGCTAAAATTTTTGAAGGCCACCCGTGGTCTTAACTCTAAATGGTTGATATCTTATAAATGATAGCTTGTGTCCCAAAAACTTCTAATACCAATGCTATAATATTTTAATCAATACTTTAATCAATTGTGATATGTAGAGTAAGCAATGGACAGAAGCCAGTCAAATAAACTTTAACGAGGACAAATATTCTTCATCCAAGTAGGAAAAATCGAATGCAAATAGGGTGGAGATACAGGGACAAGCACACTGGGCAGTAATACAAGATCTAGTGGTCTTTTGGATCATAAACTGAACATAAGCTAGGACTTGATACATTTAAAAAAACAAATATAATTCTGAGGTGCATCAACAGCATAACATAAACAATAAAGTAAACATCAAGAAAAGTCATTGCTCCTCTTCATTCTGTATTGGTCAGATTGCTTCTGGAATACTGCATCCCCTTCTGGGCACCACATTTTAGGAAAAACATAGGTAAACTAGAGCATGAGTTCAGGAAAGCAACCAAGAAGGTCAAGATGATAAGAAGCCTCAAAATGAAAGGAAAGAAAAGAAAGAAACGATGAGGAATGGTAAGAAACATTGAGAATGAAAAGACAATGGCACTAGCATTAGCACTTAGACTTACAATGCCTTACAGCCCTCTCTAAGCGGTTTACAGAGTCAGCATATTTTCCCCAACAATCATTTTACTGACCTTGGAAAGATAGAAGGCTGAGTCAACCTTGAACCGATAAGATGATGGGGCAAACTTGTTCAGTGTTGTTCCTAAAAATAAGACAAAGAAAATGGCACTACAAAGATGCAGATTTGGATTGGAAAACAGGACTATTTTCTGACAGATATTTTGAAGGGTGTAAGGAGCTCCTTGAGAGATGGATTAGGATTAGGGTCAGTGGTGGGATTCAGCACCACTGAATCCGCACCACTTCGGGAGAACCGGTTGTTAACTTTCTGAGCAGTTTGGCAAACTGGTTGTTGGAAGAAATCTTAGGGCAGAGAACCAGTTGTTAAATTACTTGAATCCCACCACTGGTTAGGGTTCTCTTCTCTTCATGGAAGATTTTAAATCTGTGTCTGAATGGCCTTCAGCTAGGGATGCTTTGATAGTGGATTCCTGCACTAAGATTGGACTTGATGATCTCCAAATTCCCATCTAAAGCTTTCATTCTATGAGTCGATGAATTGGGTAGATTTTTGATGTTATGTCTAAAATGTATGTATGCTATGTATAAAAGAAGAAGGATCATTGCCAGTTGTTCCTGCTATTAATTTGACAGTATAAATTATATAGTATAAATTACAGTATAAATTATACTGTCAAATTAATTATAAATAGTTATAAATTAATTTGACAGTATAAAAACAATTATTTTTCCTGTGCTGGAAAAAACTTCCCTTGCATTGTCAAGGGAAAGGAGAAATTCTCTGATCATTTCTTAAAGATAGCACTTCTCGTTAGCAGGGATTACTGAAAAAGTACTATCTATGTAGAACCCTAGCAACTTTTAGGGATCTGAATAAAAAGCAAGCTAGAAATTTATGACCCAAACACCTCTCATGTTAATGACAGTGTTTCTCAGTGTTGGAAGCTTGAAGATGTTTGAAATTCAACTGTCAGAATTCCCAAACTCCCACCTTGGCTGGTTGGAGAATTCTGGGAGTTGAAGTCCACATTATGGTATTACCAAAAGAGACTAACTTTCATTCTCTGAGTTTCATTCATACCAGAGACCAGCATTATGATCAGGTAGTGTAAACATTGTTTCCCAAGAGTTATTCTGATGTAAGATAGGCAGCCTATAAATGTTATAAACACACAAACAAACTTATGGCTGGTCATAAGTCCCTTCTTATAGCCCAGTCATAATTTCCAAGGGTCGCTGAGCAAAAGTTTCTAATTCAAGGACTACTATCACTCAATGACCTGTTACGTTATTTCAACAAATTATCTTTTGTAATTTCATAATTTTCATCTTAATAGGAATATTTTAGGAGATTTTTGAATGTATTTTAATATATATAACAATATTTAAGCCTATTTAAATGTCCCTGTTATGATAGGTAATGGATTTATGTGTCTTTACCCAAACAAAAACCTCTTTTATTCAATTTTAGGTAATTTATACAAGTTTGGGAAGCATTGGGTAATGAATAGGACATAGAACATAGAATAACAGAGTTAGAAGGGACCTTGGAGGTCTTCTAGTCCAACCCCCTCCTCAGCAGGAGACCCTATACACGTGATGGTGAACCTATGGCACGCATATGGCACGTATTTACCTTTTTTATTAATTATTCATTTCTTATCCTATCTTACTATAAATCTTGCTGGAATCTTCTCCTTCACCCATACCACAAAGAACAGAAGGTTGGACTATATGGAGTGTAAGATCCCTTTTGATTCTATGAATCTATAATTTGGCTTTATTTCATCTTCGTCATATAATTTAACTCATAATTAAAAGAGGTTCTTCTGACTTGCCTGGAAAGTTTTCTGAAGCTGTTGTTAGTTTTGGGGAAGAGGAACTCTTTTCACAGGAATTTTATGCCCTAGTTATCTCCTTATTTAACTAGTGTAATGCATCCTACATAGAGCTGCCCTTGAAGACAATTCAGAAGCTTCAGTGATGCAGAATAGAGGGGCAGTGGCAGTTATATGTGTTTCTAGAATTGCAATGTTACATCTCTTCCCTCAAGAAGATGCTGATTTTAATCTTTAAAGCCCTTCATGGCATGGGACTGGGTTATCTGAGGGACCACCTTTCTGTGATTATATCTGCCTGTCCTATCAGGTCTAGCAGAGAAGGCATGCTGTGGCTTCTGTCCATGAGGGATCTATGCTAGGTGAGTCAAGGAGGCAGGCCATCTCTGCAGTGGCACCTGCCTTATAAAACATCCTCCCCCACAAAGCAAGGTGAGATCCATCACTGTTAATGTTCAGAAAGACTTGGCTTTGTTATCAGGTCTGGGGGTACCAGGGAACCTGTGAAATATTACAATGACTCTGTAACTGTGGCTGATACATTCTCACCTGCACTATGTGGTTTTATTTTCTTAATAATGACTGTTTTGCATTTTAATTATGATTGTTTTAATGTATTTATTGTTTTAGTTAATTGTTCTGACCATTGACTTTTTGATGTAGCCATATAAAGTAGTCATATGAAATTGACAAAGATAAATAAATGCCACTAGCACTAAAATCAGAAGATTGCAAAATGTAGGTGAGTCGTTTTCAGAAAACCACTGGCTATTATTTGCAGCCAGTTGGGTTTCAAGATCAAGTGTTTGCTCACTGCATACAAATACCCTGGTTTTTCCCTATTGGTGTTGTAATTGTTTGAATTCCACTACTAAAAATAATTTTAACAGTAGAATAAATACTGACAAAAGAACAGTCCTTAAAGAGCCAGGTTCATTTTTTAAAAAAAAGGATAAGAGGAAATCAAAGTGTGACTCTGATTCTGGAACATGTTATCTTTTAACTAGTTGGACAAAGACACCTAAATTTACCTGGTGTATATAGAAAGTAGCATCTAGCCCAACCACCTACAATTGGGAGAAATGAATTATGTTAAACACTGACAACTTGAAAAAATGATTAAAGGGTAGCACAAGAGCTTTTCTTAAGACCCCTGGATTGCATTTTTTCAAAATAGAAGATTATAATTTAAAGACACATTTGCATAAGAGGTTTCCTCCCTTTTAACCTATGTGAAATTTCTTGTGCAAAACATCTAGTTGGTTTAGAAGTGTCCAGCCATTGCTTTTTTCTGACTTCTCGGTTTTAGCTAATGAAAAAAGGAGTATCCTGACTAGATGGTAAGATTATTGAAAATGTATATATATATATGATTGCTTATGTATTTTGTATCAGGGCAACCTGGTCTACCAAAATATAGGATGGAGCATACTGCTTCCGCTTTCACCTTTCAGCCCCAGTCCAGGAGCCTTCGCAGTCAGTTGCTTTCATGATAAATTATTTTTGTGTTAAATTTATAGTTACTGGCAGAGAAGTAAAGAGAGACTAGTGTAGATCTATTTCAAGCTATTTAGTTTTCATCAGCTAGCTGGTTCACCCAGGTTTGAATCCCAGAAGTATACGGCTAGCTGACGAGAGCTAAACAGCTTGAAATAGATCTATACTAGTCTCCTGTTATTTCTTTGTCGGTAAATATAAATTTAACATATTAATGCTTATCTTTGCAAAATTTCTGGAGTATTTTGTAAATGCAAGGAATTTATACTTTTATAATTTTCATGCTCAGCATGTGTCTTTAATATTTGTGTTAAGAATTAAAAATTGATAATTTGGTATTTAACAAACTGTTTTCTCTATATTCTGGCAATAGGTTTGGAAGAATGAATTCGAAAGTGCTCTATTCTCTTGTAGCAATAGGCATCACCATCATTATTATTTTAGTCTTGAATTTCCGAAATGCAGGGAAAAAACCCACAAATTGTGAGTGTTTTTCCCAGACAAAGGAGCAAGAGGAAGGTGGTCAGGATTGTGGCAGTCAGGTATTTCAAGATTTAACCCCGGAAGAGATAATGCAAGTAAAGAGGTATTTACAGTCCAACCTGGGAGTGCCATTGGTGGAGGCGCCTCAAGCCCAGCCATCAGATAATTGCATCTATTTGATCACCTTGCAGCTCCCTCCCAAAGCACAAGTATTACAATTCTTAGATCATCAAGGTTCTAGACCAGCCCGGGAAGCTCTGGCTGTGGTCCATTTTGGAAATCAGCTGGACCCCAATGTGACAGAATTTGTGGTGGGTCCACTTCCAGAACCAACATATCATCAAGATATCACGGCACAAAAATATGGACAGAAACTGTTTTATTCTCAAAGATTTGTTTTGGCAAATGAGTTTAATGAAATCAATGAATTTTTAAAGGACGAATATCCCAAGGCTCCAAATTTCATGCAAGAGGTTCTAAATTACAATGGAAGCAATATTCAGTACATTCATCAATTGCTACCGGGACTTAAATCAGGAGATCGCAAAATGTGGGTGAGTCATTTCCAGAATGTGACTGGCTATTATTTGCATCCCATTGGGCTTGAGGTCCAAGTGGATCATAGTAGCTTGGATGTTTCTGGGTGGAAGGTAATAAAAGTGTTTTATAATGGACAATACTTTGAAGATATGGAGGACCTTGAGAAACAATTCAATATGGGAAAGATTAGAGTAGAAAAGGTTAAAGAGGCCCCTATTGATGGGGGCTACTCTTCACTGAAGCAGAGGGTACCACCAAAAGATCCAGGCCCTTTGCAATATGAACCTCATGGACCACGCTATAGGATTCAGAATAATCAAGTCACATTTCTGAACTGGAGATTTGCGTTTGGAATTGATGCAAGCAGGGGTCCACGTATCTTTGATGTCAGGTTTAATGGAGAAAGAATAATATATGAGTTAAGTTTGCAAGAAGCAAGTGCTATCTATGGCTCCAACAGTCCTACTTCCATGTTGATCAGATACATGAATGTGGGTTTTGGACTTGGATCATTTATCTTTCCACTTACCCAGGGAGTAGATTGTCCTTATTTATCCAGTTACTTGGACTGGCACTTTTTTTACGATAGTTCATTACCTGTTAGCCGTAAAAATGCTATCTGCATCTTTGAGCAGAATGCTGAATTACCCATACGAAGACATTATGAAAGCATCCAGTCTCCTTTTTATGGAGGGTTGGCAGATTCAAATCTGGTGTTCCGAACCATATCTTCAGTTGGCAACTATGACTATGTCTGGGATTTTATTTTTCACCAAAATGGAGCTGTTGGTGTTCAGGTCCATGTCAGTGGGTACATTCAAACTTCATTTTATTTTGGTGATGCCAGCGACTTTGGCAATAGAGTCCAAGAAAGAGTGCTTGGAATAATTCTCACCCACAATATTCATTTCAAGGTGGATTTGGATATCGGTGGTAAGTAGGAGAAATGTCTGCAACTTTCAAAGAAATTTATTGGTTCTTTACTCCTTTCTTAGAATTTTTATAATGACTGTAAAAATTATAATGAAGAAAGATTCAAAAGTATGCTTACTGTTCTCAGTAATGTTCTTTAACAATTTTGGAGAAGATAGAGGTTTTTTTTAAAAAAAAATTAAGAATATTTATTTCACTATTGGTCTGCTATGAAAACTTAATTCAAGTACAATTTGCACTGTCATAATAAGAAAATATGATCAACAGATTTTCTCAACAAAATATCATGACATTTAATTTATTGCAGTTATGTCTTCATACATTTTGGGGGCTAAATCTGGAAATTAGTTGATTTTCAGGTGCTTTTGGAACTAAAAGTTGCTTTCAAGACAGATAATACCAAAAATCCTTTATAGATTAATTAGAATGCAGAATAACAGAGATGGGAGAGATCTTGGAGGTCTTCTAGTCCAACCCTCTGCTCAGGCAGGAAACCCTGTACCATTTCAAACTAATGGTTGTCTAATTTCTTCTTAAAACTTCCAAATGTCCTCATTCTCATCCCTGAGTCTTTTTTTTAAAAAAAAATGATGTCATAAAATGGGTCATGGGTGATCTCTGTTTAGTGCTTTAGTTTTAAAGAATAAGCTCTGAGGTAATAATAATAAAATAATAGTG